ATCAAAAGCAGCTATGTGCTCTATTTTTGCTAATAGTAGCTGTTCACCTGCATCTGGAATAATATATACAGCAGAATTTAGTCAATTACCATCTTATGCACTACATTTTTTAAAAGTAACTTAACAATTGTGCATTGATTTGTATATATTTTTGCTTATTCAGCCAGATGGAGATGAATACGACATAGAAGTTGACCTGCTGGAGACAGACTGTCACGTGTTGGACCCGCTGCCTCTTGCAAACTGCACAGTCAGGCCCAAAGTACAGACGGTGAGACACAGAAGCTCTCAGGTTTCGACTCCTGTAATTCAGTCGATATTAGTTCTGATCAGCCTACTTTGATTCTTCGTTCCAGGCGGTAGAAGGAGACTGTGATGTGGTGCTGAAGAAGGTTGGCGGTGTTCTGAAGGTCATTGCATTCAAGTGCAAATCAGAGGGTAAAGATCACAGATTTTTACCAATGATTTACCAATTTTTCCAAATGATTACAAAGAACAAACCACAGCAGTGTCCATACATACTGCATGCGTCAATAACCTGCATGTGACTTTCCTGCTCGACTTGTAGTATCCACAGAGGATTTGTGTTTGGGCTGTCCCAGCCTCCTTCCCCTCAATAACACCGATGTGCTGGATTTTGTCCATGCCTCTCTGACAACCTTCAACAACATGACTGTGAACACGACACACGTTCTTCTCGAGGTTGGAAGGTTGTCATCACAGGTCAGACAGTCAGGATACTTTTTACCAGATGTAACACAGCTGCATGCTTTAACCTGCAGCTGTCAGTTCATCAGTGCTGTTTAATACTTTCAGATTGTGTCTGGTGGGCCCATCTTCATAACAGAATATGTGGTTGTTGAGGGAAACTGCACCGAGGATCCCTGCGTGCCTCTCAACGATGCCATGGCTGTGAGTACACAGTAGTAAAAGCACTCAGTTTGTTTTCAGGCCTGTTGAGCTGATCTGTGATGGAGAAATGTTCAATCAGGTCACCAGATGTTGAAAATGAACAAAACTGAGAGCTGTGCCTCTCTCTCCAGGCTCGTGGGATTTGTACAGCCAAAGGTACAATCGCCCAGCACAGTGTGGACTGCAAGATGTTCTCCACTCTGGTAAAATACTGCATCTGACTTCTAATATATTCTGATACATAAAAATAAAACAACATTCACCGTCTAACGTTCACAGAGAAAACATTAAGAACTGTTTTTCTCTTACTGATGTCATTTTTTTAGATTCCCATTGTAGATGCCAACAGCACTGCAGCTGCAGACCCCGTCCTACCACCAGTGGTTCATGTGCAAACACACGGCCTGTCACACAAGCACGGCCACAGCCACCACAAACTGACGGCTCTCCACAACCCCCATCTGTTATATTCATCAGAAACACATGAAGATGGACCTTTCCTTGCAGTCCCTTCTGCTGCTGCTCCAGCTGCAGATCCAGCTCCAGCTCCAGCTGCAGACCCTGCTCTCGCTGCAGACCCTGCCCTTGCTGCAGATTTTGACTCAGCTGGAGAATCCTTAAGGAGTAAGGATACATCACCTAGCTTGAAGAAGAGAGATGTATCTGCTGCAGCTGCTGCCGTGGTTGATGCTCCTGCTGTTCAAACAGGACCAGTTACTCTCGTGCCAGTCTGCCCAGGAAGAGTCAGATTCTTCTAAGTGTCCAAGTCTCACAGACTCTATACTTGCTTTCATTTGTAGCAGAGCACCTTTGATACATTAGCCATTTCCAGTAGATGTAACAAAACACTAACCAATGAGAAATAATTCATTGTTTTAAACTGTCAAATTGTCTGTAAAAATGTTGAATAAATCTCAAGTGAATTTACAGGGTTAATGAGGACACACGGATCATTTGTACTGTAGTCCTTGCCGTCATTCTGCAAAGTCCTCTAGAACGATTTCAAAAGTCCACAGTGCTGTTTGCCTGTTGTGTTGACTCATGCCAACGACCCTCCTGTGAACCGGCTGACATTGCTGATACAGCCATGAACAACAGCAGCTTTTCCTCTGCACATCCACGCTCAACACAACTCAACATTTCAGAAATGAACGAAAACACCAGGATTCTCATACATCCAAGTATGAAAGAGTTCACACTTCATAATCATAAGAGGCTATTTAAAGATTTCAATGTGAAAATGTTGATAAGATATTTTATCCCATCGACCTGAGTTTCTCAAGTTACAGACAGACAAACATACAGGTCAATGCTGGTGAATATGGGCAAAGTCTATTAGTGAATTTACAAGAATGGATCAATGTTCAGGAAGCTGCGGTTCATGGTGAAGGACAAATTAGGTAGACAGCCTCAAAAATGCTGTGAACCCTCTGAGTCTAAAAAGCGATTTTAATGCCCCCACGGGCTAAACTGATAAGATA